CATGCGGTCCATATGTATGGAATAAATTCATTTTTAGCATTATACTATGTGATAAAACCTGAAACAGGTCGATTTTTATTCTTAAATTGATAATTTACACTATAAAACTATTATCCCCCTCCAGCACCCCCTAGAAAAATTTAATGCAAAGTTTTGTTGAAGATCCACATACATCCTCACGCAGGGTTGCCCAAGTACATGATGTAGGTCGTTTTTCAGTCTTACGTGTATTACATAAGAATATTTTTAAACGATACAAAATTAACTTATTGCAAGAATTAAGTGAAGATGACTTAGATCGTAGATTACAGTTTACTGAGGTAATGATGGATAAAATGGAAAAGGATAAAAATATCGTTAACAGAATATGTTTTTCCGATGAAGCAACCTTTACGCTGTGTGGAAGTGTAAATCGACACAATTTAAGGTACTAAAGTGACGTAAATCCACACTGGATGCGTGAAAACCAAACTCAAAGACCACAAAAATTAAATGTATGGTCAGGTATAGTAGGTACTCGCTTAATTGGGCCATTTTTTATCGAAGGAAATTTAACTTTAGATAGTTACTAAATGTTACTTAGAAATGAAATTGTATTTTTACCTACACTGATAAACTTGTTAAGTACCAATTTTAATTAGATGTAGGCAAGATGGAGCTCCAGCTCATTTTGCGGTAAATGCTCGGGTTATTTAGAAGAGATATTTCCGGGACGATGGATCGGTAGACGAGGTAGAATTGAATGGTATCCACGTTCACCTGATTTCATTCATAAAGATTATTTTTATTGGGAATACTTGAAAAATTCAGTTTACAAAACTAAACCAGCAAGTCTTGCAGAACTAAGGCAACGAAAAATCGATGAATCTCGAATAAATTCTAGACAATCATGGAAAAATGTGGTAGACGCATTCTACCATCGGTTAGAGTACTGTCAACTTACATGGAGCACATTTTGAACACTTGATAAAGTAACCATTATGTTAAAAATATTGTAGTCTATCAATTATTACATTTTAATGTAGTTAAAAATAGTTAGTTAAAAAATTTATTGAGACAATTAGGCGTTGCCAGACTTTATGTTTTATGTATTTAAGATCTTCCAAACTACATACAATCATAATTGTTACATATTGTTCAACTCGTATTGAAAATGAGATTCCAATAATGAGTGAATATACAGGGTGATGAATTTGAAAAACCAAAGTTACTAATAATGTGAGAGAAACAGCAAATCTGGCAACATTGCAAATATCAAATATGGAATCTCCGTATCCCAAAATAGGTGTAAGTGGCTTAGACTATTATTGCATCTATACCTGAAAATTGGTTTATGACTCATGAGTTCGTTTTTCGCAGGTTTCACTGTACTTTAAACTATTATTCAAGGGTAACTGTATAGTGTAAAGAAGAAACTTAAAACCATTTTCTTCAGAAAATTGAAGAGTGTATGGCTTTCTTAAGTAATAAACTTGATTCTCTCATGTTGGAAAACAAAAGTGCATTACAAGAACTGCGAGATATGAAGAAAAAAAAATATCCAATTAAAAAAGAAAGTCGCTCAGCTATAGAAAAGAATATGCGAATTAGAAATTAAAAAATATTCTTGTAACCTGGAAATTCATGGAACCGAAATTAAAAATGAAGATCGTAAAGAGGTTCTAATGGAAATATTTAATGATCTTTTATCATGTAATTTGACTAGTCAGGATGTGTCAGTCTGTTACAACCAGAAAACAAAAAATTGATCAGTAATTGTGGCAAAATTGAGGTCTCGAGATATTAAAACAAAAGTTACTAAAGCAAGGAAAAATCGTAAGATAGACTAAATCGTAATATACCATGCGGTCCATATGTATGGAATAAATTCATTTTTAGCATTATTATGTACTATGTGAAAAAAACCTGAAACAGGTCGATTTTTATTCTTAAATTGATAATTTACACTATAAAAATATTATCCCCCTCCAGCACCCCCTCGAAAATTTTAAATAACAAAGAGGGTCGTGTGAAACCTTGTTAGAAAGGGATTTTGGTCCTCTATTCAGCAATATAAAGTTTTTTAAGTTTGGTGCAATCATAACTGAGAAAAGTGATTTTTAAGATGTAAAATTTTGATAATGCCTCTATCACAAAACTTTAGATTGAATGACGATAATAATGTCACACATAATAATATCACGATAATAATAAGAATTGGTTAGACTGTAGGTCCTTATGGTAAAAAGGTTAAAACCAATTCAGTGACAAAAAAAAAACCAATGTACTTAACTTTGATGATATAAAACATTAAAACAGAATTTAACAATAGAATAAAAAACATTGGAGAATAACTAGAACATCCAGAAGAACTATGGGGTGAATTTAAAAACCAAGTTAACGAAATCTCCACAAACAATGATTATAGAAAAAACTTAATCAAGAAAAATAACTGGATGACAGACGACATCTTAAAATTAATGGACCAACGTCAACTGATAAAATCTAATGTAACAGAATATAGACACCTGCAGAGAAGAATAAAAAAGTAGATCAAATTGACCAAAGAAAAATGGATGAGAGAAAGGTGTGACGAAATGGAGGATGTAATATCTAAACACGACTTATTTAATGTGCACAAAAACCTGAAAGAAATGAGTATATATATAATATATTTAAAAAACGAGTTCCCTCTGTACTTGTTGACACTATTAACAAAATTATTGTAAATGAGCAAGAAATAAGAAAATAATGGCAGCTGTACATATCAGAGTTGTTTGACGATGACAGGAATAATATTGCTGAATTCTACCAAAACTGTACTGACAGCCCAGAAATTATGAAATGCGAAGTAGAACATGCTATAAATAATGCTAAAATTAGAAAAGCTTGTGGTCCACATGATACACCAACTGAGTTGCTGAAACTGATGGAGAATGATAACATAAAAGTAGTAGTAAGACTTTTTAATTCAATATATAACACCGGAGTGATTTCCGCAGATTGGCTCAAATCCATCTTTATCGCAATACCTAAAAAAACACAATGCGAGAAAATGCTCAGAATATCGATTAATTAGCCTAATGGGCCATACTCTTGAAATTTTTCCTCAGAATACTTCACAACAGAATTAGACATCACAATTTGGTTTTAGAAATGCTGTGGGAACCAGGGGGCACTTTTTGCGCTTAACATCTTATTACAAAAATGCCGTGACCAAAGAAAAGATGTATTTGCATGTTTCGTGGACTTCGAAAAGGCATTCGATAAAGTACAGCATGTAAAATTAATGCAAATACTGCAAAATATCGGAATAGATGATAAGGATATTCGTGTCATTAAAAATTTGTACTGGAATCAAACTGCTATCGTAAAAATTGAAGATAACTACACCGATGAAATCCCCATACAACGAGGAGTCAGACAAGGTTGCATTTTGTCGCCAACATTGTTCAAAGTTTACTCGGACCAGTTATTTAAAAAGGCACTTGAGAGACATTTATATGGAATAAAAATCAACGGGGAACTACTTAATGTGATTAGATATGCAGACGATACAGTAATTCTATCAGATAATATTGAAGGTCTTCAAATTCTGCTTGATCATATTCACGAGTTAGGAGAGGAAATGGGCATTAAAATAAACTCAAACAAAAGCAAATTGTTAGTGTTTAGTCATGACCCATATCCCGATGCAAAGCTTCAATTGAACGGAGTCCAAGTTGAGAAAGTTCACAAAATGGCATATTTGGGAACTGTGATAACGGACCAACTAGATCCAGACATAGGAATAAAACGTAGAATAGCAATGTCTAAAACTACTTTTATGAAAATGAAGTCATTTCTTTGCAATAACCATCTCAGTTTAGAACAAAGGCAAAGAATGGTTAAGTGTTATGTTTGGTCTGTACTTTTGTATAGTGCAGAAGTGTGGAAGCTAAAAGTATCATGAACAAAATTGAAGCATTTGAAATGTGGGTTCATAGACGAAAGCTGAAGATACCTTAGACAGCAAGAAAAACTAATGAAGAAGTACTAAGGAGCGTCAACAAAGACAGAGAACTGCTAAAGACTGTTAAACATCGAAAAATGTCTTATCTGGGACATATAGTAAGGGGAAGTCGATATAAAATTTACAACTGATCCTTAAAGGCAAAATAGAGGGCCGTAGAGGTGTAGGAAGAAAACAAGTTTCTTGGTTAAAAAACATTTGTTACATCAGATACCAAATGCAGACAATTATTCCATATTGCAGAAGATCTAGAAGCCTTCGCAATGGTGATCGCCAATGTCGGATATAACCATGTCTTATTTAACCATCGCCAATGTCTTATTTAACCATCATATGGGGTAATACCAATCACAAACAGCTTCATCCTCTTATGGTATAACAAGAGTGGGCTATTAAATACGTTTTTTAATATATTGAATAAATGTATACTATGCAAGCTTGTAATTAATAAATGTAAACTTTCTCAAGTACTTACAAATATTGCATTAATACTGACCAAAGATATACATAACTATCATACTAATCAAAGAGGTACTTTTCATACAGGAGGAATACAAACATCTGGTGAGCAAAGAAGCATATACTCAAATGATCTTGTATAATAAGTTGCCCAGTAATATGAAGGAAAGCCAAATGGGAAGATTTAAATTTGAATTAAAACAATTACTTTTTGATAACTACTTCAAGACCAATCAGAGTTGAATCATTTCAGTTTCTTATTGTATATTTTAAATTAAGTAATGGGAAAAAACCTTTCTCTATTAACATAGATTAATTAATCAAAAGTTGTAACTAAAAATATATTGTTTAAACTTTGTAAAACCATTGTTAATGTAGTACTCATAAACATATGCTGTTGGTTTATTAATGTGTATTGAATTAAACTTGTATATTGCACAACTATAATAATTATAATTTATATAATATACATATTTTAAAGGGGGTTTCCCGTTAAATAAATAAAAATGAATAAAAAATAACTATCTACAAAATAAAAAAACAAACTTACGGAGGTGATATGATATTTCCTTCTTTTAAGCTGGTATTTGGCTGTTTCTGGATTATCAGTTCTTGTCCCTCAAAAGTATTGAGGTACTGTATTTGCTGAGGTGAAGGTACAGGCATAAGATTTGGTTCTTTAACAACACCAGTTGTTGGTGTTGTTGCACACGAGGTCGTTGAAGTACTAATATGTTGCTTTTGTTGTGCCATAGATTGTAAAGTTCTGCCAAACATTCCATCAGCTGAAAAAAAAAAAGACATTACAAAACATGGATTTATTCATATTTATATAATTATATAAAGTAAACATAGAAGAAAACTTATTTTTGCAAATATAAATTTTGCACCACCAAAATTATGCTCATTTTGATAGTTTATTTTTCGTGCATAGATTAACAGATTCTGCTAATTTTTTTAAAATTATTTTAGACTTTTCTTTGGTATTTACACTGTTGGGCAAAGGTTTTGCACACCAATGCATTTTGCAGGGTAAAATGGAGGGAAAAAGAGCCCAGGATGAAGAAGAATATCCTGGCTTGCTAACCTGAGAGCATGAGCATGAGCAAAGACCTCAACACAGCTATTTCGTACAGCAACCAACAAAATCATCATAGCCAGAATGATCTCCAACGTTCGGAATGGAGAGGCACTCTAAGAAGAAGAAGCAGCAGCAAAGGTTTATTCAAATTTCTCTTTTGGGGTCGTACTGGGTGGAAGAAAAAAAATTATTTTCTTATGTTAAGTTTGAAATACACTGTAGAGATAACAAGGTACAAGGGTGGTTTTGCATCAAAATCATGATGTAGTATCATATTTTGTGAACATTTTGTATTTTTTTTATTTTCCGATATCTTTAAAAACAAAGAAAAGACAGTTTTATTAAAACAATATTAAATTAACAATAAAAAACGGAAAGAAACATAATGTAAACTTTTATCCCCTCTACTTCTAATAAGAGTTCTGATCGACGTCTACAGCTGAAAGAAAGAGAAATAGAAAATACATAATAGAAAAAAAAACATCTAAAGAAGGGAACCAATGCATCATGGAATACCGTTTTTACCCTCAATGTCGTTTTTGGGCCCCTAGGACAGAGCAAAACTGTCTATTTACGGACTTACAGTAAGCATGCTGCCTAGTTTGTTGGTAAATCAACACGAATCAAAGGAAGTTGGAAGCTGATATATAGCACATACTTACCCCTCCAATCCTTACGACGCAACTAGGGACAGGTAGTCAGTGTCGTGGTAATTTTACTATGGAATAATCTAACTAGGTTTTGTTGAAATTGTATAAATTACCAAACTTATTAACAGTTTTTTCCGGCAACACTGGTGGACAAAACTAAACTAAACCTTAGATCTTGAGGGGACACTTCTCTTGTTCTCTGTTCTTTCAATATTAACTATTTTCTATTTCTCTTTGCAGATATTAACAAGCTAAATGCGCCTTTCCACGTTCTGTGCGATGTTCAGTGAGAAAAGATATTCGTCAACCAGGTGAGTGCACAGTGCAAAATAGGAGAGACAAGGTTGTTTAATGGTAGAGGCTCTATGATGTTTTGGGGTGGAATTATTAAAATGTTATTGAAAATATTAAATTATTGTACATGATCTTTACTTTTTACTATTTGTTGTATTTTATTGTAAGTGGTTCTACTGTTGAAATAAATACATAAATAAATAAATTTCGTTGACAGCAAGAACGGATTTGGTGTCTTTATGTGGAGGATCTATAAAAGTATGAAGATGAATTACTGCTGACATGTGCACAAGCCTACATGAAATGCAGCTGTTACTAGAAGTAGAGGGGAAACATGTGATACTAGTTTGTTTCTTTATGTTTTTTAAAGTTTTGTTAACTATTGATATTTTTGACAGTTAATTTAGTATTGTTTCAGTTAAAACACATGTTACAGAATAAAACCATTTATTTTCTTTGTTTTTTAACCCTGCAATGGACGGGTGCCATCTGTCATGCATCACCCATATGAAAGTGCATTGAAAAAATTGAACCCTATATACCTTTTCTACTAATAAACATTTCTCTGATAATGGGCCTCACCCAATCAAATGTGTAATTATTTTTTTAATAATTTTAATAACTTTATGCCCCATATGTATACTCTTAAAATACTACCTCAGTAGTTCACCTAAATTTTGTATAGTATGTTTACATCATACATTTGCATTTAGTTGTGCACACGCATATAACAAAGTAAATCCCAGCACCAGGACACATGAGATTCCTAGAACAAGTTTAGGGTAGAGCCCATAAGCAGCTACAAAATGCACTTGAATGGGAGAGGATCCAACACCTTCCCCAAACAAAAGAGGTTATTGCAAACATTGCAGAAAAAAACAGACATTTACAAGACAGAATTTGATTACCAATATTTTCTGTATGGACTTTTTTTTTTAAACAATATTGTTCGTTAATTATTACAATGTTATTTTCCTTTAAAATGGAATATTTACTTCTGAGTTACCCTTTCTTATTTCGTTGTAACTAAAAGTAAAACAAAATGCGAAAAATGTTGATTTTTATTTGCTAATTTATTTGTAACAAATTTTGAATATTGCAATTATATTGAATCGGCAGATGCTACTCTTATAGAAATAAACAATGGATATGTAGTTTAAGAAAATTTATTTCATTTTATTTTCTTCAAAATTTTTCATTTTTAGCTTCACATGCCTCACCTGTGTGTTTGTGTAATTATATTTCACCGTCCACTAGATGAATAAAGATATCATAGAAATTAAAAAATAAAATGTTTACAAAACATGAGATTACAACATGGTTTTAATGTAAACCCACCCTTGTACCTTTTTCTTCCTACAGGGTGTCTCAAACTTAACATAACAAAACATTTTTTTTTCCACCTGGTATAAGGCAAAGAGAAGTCCCAACCATGTAAATACCAAAGACAAAGTCTAAAATAATAAAAAATTTTAGCTGAATCTATTAATCTATTCTTGAGAAAATCAAATATCAAAATAAGCCTAATTTTTGGTGGAAACTTTGCAGTCAAGTTTATATATACAATTTACTAAAACTACCCTTTACTAATTTTTAATTCAGCTGAATGTTTAATCAGGAAAATACTTTTTTTTCTAAAATACCTCGAACAGCAGAAAATATAATTGTTCCTCAATATTGTAGCCACATTTTCATATCTAACAAATGGTTTACATTCAAAAATTACAAACTATATTGAAATTTAGTAAAAAGAGCTCAAATAAAAGAAATCCCATGGGTTAGGAGTACATAATCATTAAAGTTGAAATGGGAATATGCTGGACATGTAGCTAGGAGCGATCTAAACAAATGGCACAGATCAATTTTAACCTGGAGACCATACCAACACAAAAGACCCAGAGGCAGACCTCCTATGAGATGGACAGATGATCTGAAAAGGACTGCCGGGAAAAATTGGCTACAAGTAGCATACAATAAAAAACAATGGAAAGGAAGACTTGAAGAGGCTTATGTTCAGATGTGGACCTGAATGACTAGACGAAGAAGAAGAAGAAGAAGGAGTACATAGACAATAAACTTCTAAGACTGATAGGATAACTAAAGTAAACATAGTGATACAGCTCTACTAAGATAAATACAATAAAATAGCCATTACAATTGCCAACCTCTATAGGGAGATGTCACACTAAGAAGAAAGAAGAAGATACACTGCTGTAATTAGAATAAAATTGGTATGCCAACACATGGTATTAACTCACAAATCTAACAACTTGCAAACTGTAAACGAACTACAGAAAAGAGCTGATAAATTCCAAAACACTGAAGATAATTTGGCCGTATAATCCATTTATGGAAATAATACTCAAATAATGATACATTTGAGCGAAATTCAACTACCAGTGTATTTAATACATAACATTATTAGAATATGGATCTAGAGGGCTTATTTTGTCAAATATGTTCATATCTATGGTGTGCATATATTTTTAATATATTTGGTACTTTAGGACCATTTATATAATAATCAGTGTTTTATTCAACACCACAAATTAATCTGAATAACAAGTTAATACAAGTAACAACTTAATCAGTAGAAAGTTTGATATATACAACTATGATTATGGGAAGAGATGGAATAAAGAAGAGTGCTTCACTAGTGCTTCAAACTTGAAAACAGACTAGAATAAAGAGAATGGTATGAAATGTGTAAATATTGTTGTAGGTCCAAGCAGAAGGAAAAAGTCAAATTTAAAAAAATAAAACAATAATTTAAGTAAAATATAAATACTATAGGGTGTAACTTAGTATATTCAAACATGGGAATTAAAATACACTAAAATAGAAATTTTTTAATAATTGATTTACGATGTAAACATATAATGTAATAGGCTTACCTGTAGACTGATGAGTTGATGTTGGCTCAGTGCTACTGTTTGTTACACTGGGAGATAGGTGATGTGACGATAATGGTGTACTAGGATTACTATGATTAAGTCTTGGTGCAGAGGGAGAGTCTTGTGAGGTAGGGCTTTGTCCAGTACTCATATGCCTACTTAATCCAAAAGGCCTATTAGGATCCGCAGGTGAATTAAGAGCTGATGAGGCTCTAGGTGAAGGTAGTGATAAATTCGATGTTGGATTATTTGGAGATGTAGGATTTGGACTTTGTAAAGCTATGGGAACACTGGCAGAACGAGGTGTTTGATGATAAGGAGGGGGAGGTCCTTGTAATCTTGGTCCTGGTCCAGGAACACCTCGAGGCATCACTGCTGGTCCCCCACTTCCGACTGGCATGTTTGGACCAGTACTACCACCACTTACTGGACCCACTGCAACTACAGGACCAGGACCTTGTTTTCTTTTTGGGTCATCATAAAATTGATGTAACTTCTGCCATTCCAACTGCCCACTGTTAGGAGGTGCTGCACCAGGAGGAAGATTTGAGTCAGCTGGTACATTACCTCCCGTTCCAGGAGCATTTCCACCACCAGTACCTCCTGGAACTCCTTCCATACTTTGACTTTCAGGAAAGAGCATTTGTTGCATTTTTCTTATTGTAGCCAATTGTACTTCTCTGTGTTGGCGCTGTTGGGGAGTGAGATTCTCGTCAGGCACTTTGACACCCTGCAAATGAGGGCTGAACATTTGCTAAGGAAGGACTGCAAGCATCCATATCAGGCACCACATCAGGTAATCCATTAGAAACAGCAGCATCTAGACCTTCTAAATGATTATTTTTTGTATCCCAGGCTATGTTTGTCTCATCCAAACCTACCATATCATCTAAAGGATCAGGTCCCAAAAAATTGTCCAAGGTAGTTGGAGGTTTAGAGCTAAGCCCTGGGCTTCTGGTACAACTTTTATTTTTCATCATTGCTATATTTGAAAGCCACTGGGCTGGATTTTGGCGGTTAAACTGGGTTACTTTAAGTGGGTTTTTTTCTAAGTACTTTTTGGTACCAGGTTGGGCACAATGATAAGCTATTATTGAAGGATATCTACCTTGTATCACTTCTTCTGCACCTGAATTTGCCAATATTGTAGAAAACACAAAGATTTGACTTTGTTGTTGCATGTAGTTTACTTCCATAGAATTAGGTTGCTTATTTATTACATTACTTACTAGGGGTTGCACTCCTTCTGGAGGCTGAGAATGTGAACTGCCTCCAGTAGTAGGCAACCCCAGTCCAAATGCATCTCCTCCTAACTCCCCATCTATACATTCTTCTTTGAGAGGCAGTGCACTAGTATCAGGCCCTGGAACACTTAATGAGTCCTCTGAATGCACCTCAGGTTTTCGATCCAATGTTGTTTGTAAAGAACCAGTATTCGTTGAACCAACAATACCCCCATTTTTGGTGATAGGACCTGTACAGGGTTCTTTCTTAACACTAGTCTCTTCTTCCTTTTTAACTCGCACTTCCGTGCTAGCAGTCTCTTTATCTGAACTGCCAGCCTCATCTTTTGTTGTTTCCGAACTCTTTTCGGCTTTTTCCTTGATCATTTCGCACTTTTATCACATACCCCTTCCTTTCATGCTGCACTATCACTACTACCATTCACTTAACTAGTCTCTTTCCAGTATTATAATCTTAGCCCCTGAGATCAACACTATTTATTTATAGTCATTCCTTTTATTTTAATACCACTAATTTATGTTTCACATCACATATGTTCTAATGTTTTTATTTGCATTCCATCATTTTTTATTTTCATCTCTTAACCAAATTTGAAGAGACGCATACAGGCTATTTTGGACCTCCATGGCATCGCACAGTTATCCGTTTTCCGATATTTCAAGTTAATATTAAAAAAGCTTCTAAATGACATCAATTACTTTTGAGATTTTCTCTATTAATCCATTAAAAAAACTTTCAACAAAAATCCTCACATCACAAAATGCCAAACTGTCCATACACGCTGCTACCAACTGAAAAATAGTCAACTGGGTTACAATGCTGCCATCCTTCAGTGACTGAAATCGGTGATTTAAAAAAAAAGAAATTTTTGTTAAAAAAACGGTTGATTGCCTCATGATCGAATAAGTATTGTTAAAGTTATGTTATTTTTATAATACGTATATTAAAAATATTAATATTGTTCAAGAGTTAACTGTTAAAATTGGTTTTGCGCCTTTTTGTTTGTAATATGTACTTGATTTAAATGTTTTTAAATATGAGAAGCCCATGAGAAACTAAAACCAAAACTTAATAAACGAAATTTTGTTTCAAATTTAGTTTTTAACTTTTTGATTTCAAAATTTTATGAAACAATACAAAAGAAAATATTTTATATACAAATCAAAATCACTAGACCTACTTAAAAATAAGTGACTGTGGCAGCACTGGTAAACGTCATTACCAATACTTATTCCTAAAAGTTACTAAACAAATTCAAAAAAACCTGAAGAAATGTTTGTAAACTAGCATTAAGCAATATCAAAAAACCAAACTACTCATTTTATTATTTAAATAAAAATTAACTATAAATCTTAAATTTTATAACCAATAAATTAATTGGTAGGTCATTAAAAAGCACATTCTAAAAATACCAATTAAATGAACAAATACTTTAAACTTTTAATTTTCTTTCTATTTAATGTATTTGTTGGTATAAAGTTAGTTAAATTTATTAAAAGTCTATTATCTTTTATAATAAAACATATATGTTTCTACTTTTGCCATCTATCCTAAAAATTGAAAGCTAGTAAGAATTGATAGAAGAATTCTGTTGCAATACATTACTGTTGCGATAACTATTAGAAAATTTTAATTATGTATAAATAAAATATATTACTATTATAGTATACAGTTTAAGTATATTTATCACAGAGGCATACTACAGAATAAACTGATTTTCAATAATTATTACAAATTCAAATATGTGTATATATTTAAAAGCGGCAACTTTGTCTTTGTTTATACTACCTTATTCTCCATTTTCTATCCTTCAATTACGAATAATTCAAGTAGAATGATAATTATAACCATACATGATAATTTTGACCCATTTTAAAATATTTGAAATTTTAAATGAGAGGTTAAAAATATAACTTCCTAGTCGTAAAAGACCGGTTAGAAAAGTAGTAACAAAGGGAGAGGGGATGTGGAAGGTGACGTTTGTGCACCATTTTGTTTTCACCTTCTCTTCATGTTATCGTTTCTTACACATTTTAAAACATGTAAACCTTACATGTACACATGTAAATATACCATTAACAATAAATTATTATAAAAATTTTAATATTAAAAATTATTCTATTATATTATATATAAAATCCTTCTTAAATTTTTCTAAATATAGCTTAAAATTCTAACGGGACAGGTACATGACCTTTATATAGATTTTTATCGGGCAAGATCTTAGATTAATAGAGAGGATGATCATAATACCTACTGTTTGGACAATACTAGTAATGTTTTAAATGTTGTGCCGGCTTCTCAAATTGTCGGACTACTTTATTTTACAAGATATGAACAAATGTGACAATTTTAAGTTATATATTTATAGGACTTCGTATTAAGAGAGTTTATTTTTATATGGAATCATCGCCTTCTTTACCGTTAACTTCACCCTAAGGCTACTGAATATAATTAATTTTGGGTATATTTTAAAAATAGGGTTTAGTTGAATTAATTGTAGCTTTCTATAATGCGGTACGAGTTGCGTCAAAAGTATTTGAAAGTCCATTTCTTAATTTTATCGATATACCAAAGAATATAGACGCTTAAGACGCTTAAGCGTCTATATTCTTTGGATATACCTAATGATTTTGAAGTGATCAAAATTTTATTATTTGACATTCGATAGATCATAAATCTGTAATTACCAACAATCTACTTTAATTTTAGCATCGCTAATTTGTAAATGAAAAAGTGTAGGACTTGATTTAGATTATAAAATTTCTGGGAACGGTGATTTGGGCGGAGGTTCTGAGTTCATCAGCATTTTAAATTCTTTTATGTTAGTTATATCTCGTCTATTTTTGATTTTATATTGTTCCTTAATTATACGCGGTTTTTTGACAATTTATCGATTAGTGTAGAACCTAGAATTTTTTTATTTCTAAATGTATTTTTATATAGGTATATAAACAATAAGCAAAACTTTTTTGTTGAATGAACTGGGGGATTGCTCCTGAGGTCTACCTTACATAAACTCCTGGATTAGAGAGCACTTTTTCCCCACAGCCTGGGTTAGGTACTAGAGGGACGACTGGAAGGTCCGATTTCCGACTGGCAACGAAGTGGGAGCGTGAATGGTGAAGTTGGAAGTCGGATCACAGGTAGAATCAAAAATTTCTTCAGTCAGTTGACCTTGGGCACCTGTTACGTATGGGATTTCTATGAATTAGGTACTTTACGCAAAGATCCCTAGCTTGCAAATATTTACTAGAAAATAAACTTTCAATTACACAAAAATTACCCCTATTAAATCATCCAGTAGCGCACCAATTTTCCTCTGGGGGGGGTTTATGATGCTATACTAAACTAAGCTATACTAGATTTGTAAGTAACAGTGTCGGAATAGGGTCCTGGGTGGGGTTTTAACGTCCAAAACCCCCCTGGGTGCGCCACTGCCGTCATCTACTTTTTGTTAGGGTAAATCATTTTCCTTTCTGTAGATCTATTTAGACACTCCCACACAGGTACAATTTCCAGCACTCTGGATTGAAGAAGAGTTATCATGGTTGTTTTAAACACAGCAAAGAACAACGATGCTGAAAGTCTTAATTCAACCGACAATTCAATTAGGCACAATTCAAGCCAGGCACAAATAAATGACATAAGTTATCCTAATCATACACATAATTAATCAGACGTGGTGTCACAACTAGTTCAAGTTTTTGATATAAGTTTACCAAATATAGGTGATTATACACTGGAAAATAATTTGAATAATTTGACAGAAAGTGACTTAAATGACTTTGAAATTATAACCGAATTTGAAGTCATACCACAAAATCATGAAGTCCAGGAAACACAGCAATAAGAAGTTGCTGAATTAATGCAAATACGCCAAAAAATCTGAACTGTCACAAAGAACCTCCGACACGTGATAAGTTGAAAATATCATCTAAGGAATCTTAAACAGAAACAAACATTAACCAAGATAAGATGGAGGATGATAAAGAAATTCGAATGGAAGACGAACTTTTACAAAATCATAACTATATTACGGAGAATATAAAAATAACAAAGAATTTAGGAAACCAAACTCCCACAGAAAATGATATTTTGCAAGAAAATAATACACAAAATATGCAAAGCAAATTAAATACCAGTCCAAAAAGTATCAAAAATAAAATAAATATCTTGTCCAATGTTATTGTCAAATCAACAAATCTATCACCCGTTTTAGGTAAGTATTAACTTTACCTAGTACATCTAAGACCATAAAAAGAAGATGTCTATTAATAGAACAGGAGCCATTTGCTCCGATGAGTGGAGACAGTTTGAGAAGCAGACGGAAGAAATTAAGGAACAGAAAAAGAACGATATATTGATTAAAAAAAATTAAAACACTGGAAGCTAAGGAAAAGAAGGTGAAAGAAAGACAAAAGAAAAAAGCAGAATTACAAAAAAGAAAAGCTGAAAAGCTATTGAAGTCCAAAAACATTAAAAAGAGGAATAATAGTACGACATGCATAGTGAGCAGAATAAGGTGTGACTCGTGTGAAGAGGAACTGACTAGTGACACAGAAATGAACGAATTAAAGAATATTGCTTGTGACAATTGTCCTGCGTGTTATCATCTAAAACAGGGTTGTCCAACTGGCGGTTTCAGATTTGATCGGAATGGTAAACGGTTTCTGGAATAAACTGAACGTGTTTAAACGTGCTTTCGAAAAGAACAACCTGACACACTTCCCTAGCTGTCTGCAAATAGCAGAAGAATTCAACGGTGAGAGGAAAATATTGAGTTTTCATCCTGCATGTCACAAATTGAACAAGTTATTGATGAAGTCAATACAAGATTTGAAGAAATTGAAAGTCTCAAAAGCAGTGTACTACTTTATAATAACTCTCTTGGAGCAACCATTGATGATCAACCGCCCAACTAACAGCTTGAGATATGTGATCTTCAAGCAGACATGTTCCTGATCACCAGACAAGAAAAGAGACCTGAATTTTTCAAATTACTGTCCAAGGAGAAATTCCCAAACCTGCGAGATTTTGGACTGAAAATGACGTCAATGTTCGGAAGCACATATACATGTGAAAGTGCCTTTTCCTCCATGAAATACATAAAAAAAAAAAAACACAAGCAACCTTACCGATTCTTCCTTACATCATCTTATGAGAGTGTCTACAACTGAACTGGAGGTGGACATTTCTTCATTGGTAGATGAAGCCGATCGACCACAGTCCTCACATTAATTGGATACATCTTTTTCGTTGCTTTTGCAATGTTTGTCTTGATTATTGAAAAGTGTTATCAATAAATTTTACGTTTATAAAAAAAATGTAGTTGTTGAGCAATAAAAGAAATAATACTCTTTTTTGTTTTAATTATTTTTATACCTCACTTTATTTTGTTATTACTTGTAACAAAATTATTATATGGCCCGCGACAACATCAAAGGTTTTAGTTTTGGCCCTTGAGACATTGCAAGTTGGACACCCCTGATCTAAAATGTATTGAATTTGGTGGTATCGTTTATGAGAATGTATACAATAAAGAGTTTCTATGTCCAATATGCAAGAATAAGTAAGTGGCTGACTACAAGGTAGACATGACTGACTTGCGCAGAAATGAAAAGTGCCATATTTTATTGTGTTGTTTTATTATAATTATAACAATAATAACATTTAGTTAATCTCTTTCGATAATTTAATAAACAAAGTTTCTGATAAAAATATTTGTTTTTATTTAACGCCTTTATTTTTTTTTATATGCAATTGAAACAGATTAAGATTCTCACTAAAAGGTTGACTACTGGGTATTTTACCCTAGTTTGAATCAAAAAAATTATTTAGACGATTAGGCGTTTCTAGGTTTTTGGTCCACTGTATAAGTATAATAAACAAAATAGCAGAGAATAGCACTTACATCAAATAACTCTTCTGTGTTTATGTTCAGACGATCTTGTTCTTTCCCCGGGACTTCCTATGTATAGCTGGTTGAAGCACTGGGCGATGCTTATCCTTCATTCTACACCTGTCTTTGTTTTCTTTCAAGAATTCATTCTCAGTTTAATATTGAGCACTTTGTACGTTATTTTTTCCAACAGGTAATTTTCACTACTAATGAAGTTCATTTTCAGTTAATCGTTAAGACAAAAACTACACAAAAACTTTTTTTAATACAGATTAATGGTATAAAGAAAAAACAAAGGAGTAGAGACCACTGATACAAATGAAATTATACGAATAAGGCACTAATATTATGGAAATCTCTATAATAAAAAAGATACACCGACAAAAGAAATTTTAAGTCAATTACAAGTAAATTTAAATCATTAAGAATGAATTAAGGACACTTAAAATGTGGAAATGCCAACGAATGGAGGAAAACAACAACGAGCATTTGTATATACTACGAAAAAACACTTAGCACAAAATAAACACACCTGGAACGAAGCAATAACCTATTACTATTTAAAACAAGGAGGTACAAAGGACATAAAACTTATAGACCAATAACTGTACCTAATGTAATGCTCAAACTACTAAATAAAATACAACTAAGTTAGCTAACTACCAGAAAAGAGAGCAGGTCTAAGAAAAGGCTTTAGAACAAGTGACAATCTGCTAAGGATGAAGCCAACAAATATCAGATCCCGCTATATAAATGGCATTCGTAAACGTCCACTATATGCAATTTATATACCTAAATGAAGGTCTGAAAAATTACCTTTAAATAGCTGAGACACTCATGCCAATCAGAAAGCGCGGCAACTACTTTTGGATTTTTATTTAAATTTTACAATTGGAGACAAGTACACAAAACTAATTTTAAGTTTTTCTGGTCAATAGAATTTATTCACATTATTCACTAGCAAAGTATTTTCTAAAGAGTCAGTAGACTTAATAAATATACTATAAAGCAGCTGACAGTAGCAAGTGGTTAACTTGCAACACTGAATCAATTTCTCAATTTCCTTCCCCCTGTTGAAAAGAACTGTATGCAGTATACGACCTTTGACCACTTTATGCGAATAAAAGTCGACTTAATATTGCTTAAGCCGGTAATAATATTGATAATATAATTCGATCATTTGCACGTGCTTACTGTTTAATATTGTGTTGTCTTTGATTGTTTATTTTCCCTTTGTTTTAATATTTTCGTTTACGGGCAGAATGTGAGTAGGGGTTACGAATGATGAAATAGATACTACCTGAAAAACTAATGGTTGCAATAGTTTTGAATCAAGAAACTCAGATGGTAAGCGCATTTTTTAACAGGTACGAAATGCACTTTGAATTGAGAGGGAAAGGAACCTACGATTGTATAGATTCTATACTTTGTCTCAAAGTGACTAGTCTGTACAGGGAAAGATATGCAATGCTAACCTAATGAGAATTTCGCTAAGACCTTGCCAGTTTTATGCAGTGAGCGATGGCATTCTCTATTGTCTATCTTTCAAAATAAACGGAATAAACCAGGAGTTCTCAACAAGTCTCACGTACAATTTTATGTAATTTACAAATATAGTTTGCTAATAATTTTACATAATACTATACATTATTTGTTTCTAATAGTAACTTATCAACTTTTATCTTTTATTAGTTGCAGTAGTCTGCATTAAATAAACATTTGTTTCAAAGTTTTTCAAATACTTTCTTCTAAGTTATTCAGTAATTAAGAAGTAATTCTTATACAGAATATGTTTAAAAGCTTGATACATCCAGGGCCTTAATTAGTCTTTATTTGTTCTTAGGAGCGCGTAAACATATTACTGTTTTGTTATTGTTATTATTTGTTGGTGGCTGTTGTTGTGATTTTCTGTTGGCAATTATTGTTATTTTCTGTTGTTGGCTATCACCTGCTGGATTACAGTCTACAAAGAGCAGGCTCAAGAAGCGAACGGTTGGTAATTCTCGTGACAACACGTACAATAAAGGTGTCAGAGGTCAAATTCGTAGAATAGTTCATCATTTTTTTCGTGACAACATACCACCAACAATAAACACCATATCAGCTGTTGTAAATATCGAAGAAACTTTGCCAAACTTTTCACGAGCCACGCTAAACCGCTTGCTGAGTTATATGGATTTTGTGTTTATAAAACGTGGCAGAAATTTAATTTTGATTCAAAAACCAAAAATCATCTCGTGGCGTCATCGTTATTTATGCGCAATTCGTAAATACCGTGCAGAAGGACACAACATAGTGTATTTGGATGAATCATGGGTAAATATCGGACACAGTGTGAAAAAAGAATGGGTTGATAAAATAATGGGTTCGTTTTATTGCACGCAGGATCTACCAGTAGATTTGTTGATGGAGCAGAGCTCACGTTTTTGGCAAAGAAAAATACTCAGGACTACCACGACGAAATGGATGGACCGACCTTCGAAGATTGGTTCGAAAATAACTTAATGCTAAATTTACCAGAAAAAACTTGTGATAATGGACAATGCCTCCTATCACAGCCGAAAGTCAGAACAAATTCCCAACAGTTCAACACTAAAAAAAGATATTCAAGAATGACTTCTGTCAAAGGACCTATTTTTTGAAAAAGACTACCTAAAATGCGAGTTACTTGATGTAGTCAAGGCCTTCAAAGCAAAATATGACAGGTAGATAATAGAAGATATTGAAAAAAAGCACAATGTGAAGATTCTGAGGCTCCCACCCTATCACTGTGAACTCAATCCTATCCAAATGGTTTGGAGTGAAGTGAAACGGTATATAGCTGGACGCAACGCGAATTTTAAAGAAGCTGAAATGCGAAATTTAATTATAGCAGTGTACCAGGTCATTACGCCAGAGAAATGGAAAAACTACGTAAACCACGTAATAGCAACAGAAAAAAAAAATGTGGAAATTAACAATTTGTTGGATGATATCGAACCAATTATTATAAATATAAATAACGGAGATAGTGATGACAGTGACGATAATAATGATGATGATGATAGTTAAGCAGAAACTAAATGTGACACCCCCTCTATAAAGACGAAAAAAAAAGTTACACCGGAGAAAAGTTCTGGATACATACATACTGTGCCAATTTGATTTCAGTAATAATTGTCTTACCATTCTTTGACCATTATTTCTTTAATTTCTGCGCTATTTGCCATAGCATGTGATTTACGATTTAATTATTGCACTTAATGTGTAAACAATAAAATTATGTTTGCAATATAAAAATTGTTTTTGTTTTTAATCCATTCTGATCCCGAAAATCAAATTTCTGAAAACTGTTAATATTTGGAAATCAAAACATAAACAAAAAAAAATTGGTAAATCCGAGATTTTTAAAATTCTCGTTAATACATCCAGAGTGATTCCAAGAAAAGTTGGCCCCATTTAGTATTTATTATTCACAGCAAAAAACAATATTAGTAAAAATTATCTATTCAAAACACGATTTTCTGATTAATCTAATTTTTCTCAAGACATGTGATATCATATACACTGTGATGACCTCCTGTTATAGAGGTCACTGTTATAAGACTAGGTTTATATGTTGATTTCAAGTCAGTAATAAGTGGACAATTACATTAAAAGGTGTTTTTCAAGCTCTCAAATTCAGTAAGTAATTCTTTTAGTTTTATAATGCTACTTGAAGAAAAACTCTTAAATAAAGATTCGAACGTAACATATTCTTGAACTATACTTAAAGAAGTCTTTTCCAAAATATTATTTTTGCAACTGTTATTATTGTAAAACCTGATGGTTTTAATAAAAGACCTTGAATTTTGTAAAACATTTTTAGATTTGATTGAAGTATATTAGTGATATACACGGTTTGTCGGTAAGTATATGATTTAACAAGTTTTTTCGACTTACATTTTATTTTTCTATATATTCTGCATCCCTCTTTTTAACGATATGTTAGATTAGAAAAATCACATAGGTTAATTAATCGTATTTCAACACCTTATTTTGTTATTCTATTATTTTTTACTATTTCCACCTGCTTCAAATTTTTGTTTCTCTCTCTCTCTCTCTCTATCTCTCTCTCTCTATCTCTCTCTCTCTCTGTGATTATATATGTCGTTATTTTATATTTATTATACATTGCTCTGCCTCATTTTTTTTTATTTAGAAATTACAGCAGCATCCACCATAATGGTTATTAGCGGCGGCTACAGAATTACAAAATTAGAGTTTATAAAATATTCCTATAGATTTTAAGAAATTTACAATATTATTAGCTGAAAATTAGTGCCTAATAAATTACTTAAACTGTTAGGTACCTATGTTAAATGTAACACGAAAATTGGAAAACGTATGGCTTTCAATTAATAAATGGTTAACTGTTACTTGTGCATTACATGTTTCACAAATAAATAGATCACATTTGGACAATAAATTATATGAGTAAGTCTCGTGTGTCCAATTCGTAATCTCGTTATCACCAATTGTTCTCTTCTGTTCCTAGTTGAGGGTTCCCAAGCTGTAACGTCATTTTTAATTTGCTTCAGCGATGTTTGAGAAGATTGCCATTCGCTTTTCCACTTGCACAAAACTCGATTTTTTATAAAAGCTTTTATATCACTCGCGGTATTTCGATACTCGGCTTTTTCTATATCGGCACATTTAGCAATTTCCCTCGCGCACTGGTCCGCATTTTTGTTGCCAGCAATGCCAATGTGGGATGGAATCCATATAAATCTGATACTCCTAGAATTTTCTTGAGCCTTCATGAGCTCTAGTTTTATCAGTTTCTCAAGGGAACCTTTAGGATAGATCTGTTTAAGGGTTTGAAGAGGGTCTAGACGAGATTTTTGGCTTTTGAGAAATTGGAGAATGATAGATTTTGACCAAAAAGATGGGTACTGGTGCCGCTGCCAAATGAAGTTAAATAATTGAAGCATTTAATTTTTAGCAGATGTGGGTAGGTCTTAAGCAAATCTTTGGGCCCAGGACTTGTTTCTTGTTAGTTGTTTAGTTCTTGTAACGTGAGAGGAGCGTTTAATGGAATGTTATAGTTTTTTAAATAGAGGTTAGACCTTTTGGCTCTACTTCATTTTCCAGAAATACAGGGTCAAAATTTATATTGGAAGACATTTCTCTGTAGTTTTTAGCTAATGTATTAACAATTTCAAGAGAAGAGGTAACAATTTGATTACCTATTTTGAGACTAGATATTGGTACTGATTGGGACTGATCAGTACGCTTAGAGTCCCAAATAAAGTTATGGCCGTTAAAATCCCTTAGATGATTCGAGGGGAGGGTATCTGTTCGATAAGGTTTTTTAAATCTTCATAATATGTAGCTGAAGAACTAGATGGAAGGTAAATGTTACATATAAAAATTGGAACGGGAGCGGTGATCTCTATAACTATAGTTTCAATGTAACTATTGACAGGAAAAACATTTGCAACCAAAGATGTTTTGACAAGTGTCATAACACCACCTGAAGAGAAATGATTGTCATGTACTCTATCTTTTCTGAAAATGTTAAAATATTTGGAATTATAGTTTTTTTGGGGGATTAAATTTGTTTTTTGAAAAAGTCGAAAAATTCAAGCGCCTACAGCACCTCAACCGCTGTACACGCTTAGCGGGATACTCTCGAAAGGAATATTCGAAATATTTGGGTTCACGTTTTTAGCGAGATATAAACCATTTATCCTTGATTCCGAAGCAATTCGGTGAAATTGCTTTTTTGTATTTATAAGTTATTTGTTAATAACAATTGCCGACCCACTTGTAAAAATAAAAAAAAATACATTTCATCTTGGAAAAATATATAGAATCGAATACAAAAGGTTTGGTGCATTAGAAATGCAAAAAGAATTTTAGTCGGTTGATGCTCTGCTTATAGGGGTAAACCACTCGCCTATTAGCCTTAGTTTCATGAGGGCCTGAAGATGCTTAAAAGTTTGTAAACAGTGAAACCGGTAGCTTAAAAACCTATAACGGATTGTGAGTTGAAGACTTATTTCCGTAACATTCATAAATTTATTTTTGTATTTGCAGCTAACATTGATTTAAAGCTATTAATACAGGGTGTTTCAAAAGGTATGTCATACATTAAATCACGCATTTCGGGGACAAAAATAATTTGATTGAATCCAACTTACCTTAGTACAAAAGTGTAAGTTACAGCCCTTTGAAGTTACAAAATAAAAATTGTTTTTTTTGCATTATCTCCTAAACTACTTGGATCTTTGTAATAAAAATGGACACGTTACTTTCTTGTTCTGAAAGCATTTTTCATAAAAAAGAAACAACAGGTAAGTTGGATTCAATCAATTTATTTTTGTCCCCGGAATGCGTGATTTAATTTATGACATACCTTTTTGAAACACCCTGTATATTGTCAATATATATTTAATCTGTTTTATATAAACTTGGAGCTTTTTGTTTTCCTGATAATTAAGTTACACAAAAACTATTAAGTAAAACATCGAAACAGTTTTTAAAAGCCTTTTTTTAGAAACATTATAATATTCTAAGTAAATAAGAATAAATGAAAACCAATGCGATTAGATATGGCTTATCAGAGATACGCGATATTTTAGCCGAAATCGTAATTTTAATCACAAAAACAAGATAAACAGATGTCAATGTCATTTTCCTGTAAAAATGATAAGAATTAAGATCAATACTGAACTGAAATAGATTAATAATATTATTAATGTATTATACAAAATATTTTTTAAACTTCAAATTGATTGGAAATTTGACTTTGTCGGTTGCTATACGGAATAGCTGTTGAGGTCTTTCTATACCATGCTCTCAGGTTAGCAAGCTAGGATATTCTTCTTCCTCCTGGGGCCCTTTTTCCTTCAATTTTACCTTGCAAAATGCATTGGAGTAGCTCGTATCTGCCTTGATTTCTCATTATATGTCCCAAGTACTCCAGCTTATCCCTTCACGATGTTGACCAAGTCCGCGGTTGTGTTCATCCTCCGCAGTACTTCTTCATTGGTGACTTTGTCTGTCCATGGTATCTTCAGGTTCCTTCTGTATAACCATAGCTCAAAAGCCTTTTGATAGAGTTTTCGCCTTCAATGTCCAGGTTTCTACTCCATACAAATGCATTGAGTACACGTAAAATTTAAGGAGCCTTATTTTTGTTTCTAGGGTGTCATGGCTCTTGAATACAGAGCTCAGACAAGAATGCACTTTTGCCTTTCTCCACATGATTTTAATTTATTTTATCTTAATTAATCTTAATAAACTTGAAAGCGACAACATTTTTGAATGGAGAATGAAAAGACCTTTCAAACGATATATCACAAGCCTATACTTCCTATTTTAAAAATTGGGGTTGTACTGTCATTCTAAGAGGGTTGAAGGTAGGGATTGCATTTTCACGTTAAAGAATGTCAAGTTATAATTTAAATTTGACATGTTTCAGGATTTTTTATAAATATGTACAGTAACCTAAATAATGAATTTATTCCAGTTGGCTTTTACACACTGTATAATGCCTTCTTGATCCATTTCTAACTTTGACGTTGTGATTTAAATTCTAATTTAGATCTGTCTTAAAGTTAGTGTTTTATTGTTAGGTGTCTTTAAAGCTTCAACTTTGTGACAAAAAACACATTGATAAATATTTTATTTTCATTTACATACACCTATTCGAGGGCCGTTAGCTCAAAATTAGAAATAAATAATAGAGTACAGCTGTATTGCTTCATCGGAACCAAATACCAAAAATAAATACGTCAGTTCATGAATTCGTTTCCAAGATTAATAGAATATTGGGGTTTTAACACTGTTTGCCAAGGGAAACAATATGTTATTGCTTAAGCAATAAGCTTTTTTCATTTTCTATATTTAAGAATTATATTGCCCAAAAAAATCACAGATAGTAAAAACATTTTTATATATAGATGCATGATATAATATACATAAAATTCATAATGTTCTTCCTAATAGAGTTTTGAAAAAACACAACAATAGATCAAAAAAGGATGTACCAAAATTTACACAAGGTTATAATTGAATAGGAAACACTGTTTTCCTTAGGTTACAATTTTTTATTGAGTCATAAAGTACATAGGATAGGGTGTATGGATTAGGCACATCAGGTAAATGACCTTCACAGCTTTGCCAGCGCATACACACTTTTGTGCTGAAATTTTTCATGACTATTTTCAAAAGTGTGGCTGAATTTCATTGATTCAGCGTTGAATTTCTTGCTTCAATGCACGGGTGGTTGTAGGTTTGTTGGCATAGACCTTTGACTTCAAATAACTACATAAAATCAAGGGTGCTAAATCACACGATCTAGCGGACCAATCCTGATCTCCGAAGTGAGAGAATGCACAACCAGAAAATGTCTCACGCAGTAATTGAATTGTTTCACGAGCTGTGTGGTATGTGGCATGATGTTGAAACCGCTTTTCGTCCACATCCATATCATCTACTTTAGATAGAAATAATGCTGTTATCATGTTGCAACATTGAGCACCAGTAACAGTGTCTGCTTGGTCAGTATCATTGTCAAAGAAGTATAATTCAATGCTGTCTCCAGCTCAAAATCCGCACCAAACAGTGACACGTTGTGGATGCACTTTTATTCGACAGTCACATGTGAGTTATCATAAATCTAACTGCGCCAATATTGACGATTAACAAAGCCATCGAGGGGAAAATGTGCTTCATCGCTCAGAATGTTGTCAATAATCTATTTACCGAGCTCTCTTCGCTGTGCATGGTCAATAAGCCATTCTTGTGTCAATTGAGTTTCATCAATAGTCACGCACAGCTTCGATATTGATATTTAAGCGGATGATTTTGAACGAACAGTGTGAGTGTGTTTAATATCACCAATTGATCCAATCTCCCTGAATTTTTTAATAACTTTAATAACCGTCACAGTTTTAAATCAATATTCCGATCTACGAAATTTTTAAACTGTGCCCGCCAATTTTCATTATTTTTAAAATATGGTTCAACAATGAAAATGTGTTGTTCTCTTGTGTAACGCTCCATTTTTACTAACCCTGAACCAATCTTAGCAACCCTGAAGAATGGGATTATTCTGCAGTTATACAGGACAGTAAAATTTTATTAAATTTGAAAAAATTATAGTAGATGAGAAAAAATGATCGACAGATTCAATTTTCTCGCATTAAATAATGGTTAATGGTCATTAATTGTTTTTATGAAACTGTTGAATTAAAAGTTCAGTTTAGATAAAGGCGCGTGTAAGTACAATCCGCATTTTAAATATCTGTAGTATAACATTTGGGAGTTTAACCCTTTCGGTCATCGTGTCCACACCGATGGACATCGATTTTCAAAGCATTTTCTTGAAACATCGATGGTTATTATCGCCCAAATCATTTTGTCCATGTGTGGGTACATGCATAAGAAAAGCATTGAATACATTGATAGCCATCTGTTAGTCGATTTGTGAAGCTATATAAAACGCAAAACAGGTTGCATTTAGCACGCTGTCGTGGTGGTGAAAACACCTGTTTGTTATTGGAACGATTTTTATTGAATAAACTTGTTTTTTCGTACAAATACCTGCTGATTTGGGTAAGTAAAGAGCATTAGTATAGTGTGTTTATATTATGTATCAAACTGTTGACTGAAAATATCTTATAAAGAGGTGTATATTTATATGTCCATGTAGATGGACAAAATGACTTAGGTATACTTATGCATATAAAAATTACCAAGGTCGTGTTGTTTTAGATATCCATAAAATGGAAAGTTTACCGCCAACTAGTAAAGAAAAGAGATGGTCACGACCCTTGACTGAGGATGAACTTCTGGATTTACTCATGAAAGACGATGACTCAGAAATAATACGTTTGTCAGATGCTGATGACGCCAACAGTATTGCGGATCTAAATGACGTTTCCTCAGAATTTCGCGATGATATCCAAGATATTGAGGAAACTATTTTTGACGGATTGATCCAAGAACAGAAGTCAACAAAAAGAGGTGAGTTCGAAAATCTAGAATATTCCAATGAAGTGACTACAGAACAACCAATGTCTGAGGACATAAAAACCAAAGAAAATTCCAACCAAATCACTGAAAAACAAACAACTGCAAAGGAGAGACCGCTAGAGTTTTGTAAAGAGTTCAAACTCACAAATAAGAAAGATGTTTGTTGGAAAAAAATATTACCTATCTTACCAGGCCAGTACAGTGGTTTGTTCCAGAAGAAGTACAAGTTGATGAATTACCTGCTCCTATTGAATATTTTATGAAATACATACCTGATGCTCTGTTTGAGAAGATTTCAGAAATGACTAACTTATATGCCGTACAAAAAAATATTACTCGGTTTTCTCCATCAGATAAAGAAGAAATAAAGCGATTTGTAGGCATTCACATTATTATGGGAAATCTAAAATTCCCAAGAGCAAGACTGTATTGGTCCCAGCTTACAGGTATTTCAATTGTAAAAGATAATATGACATTCAATCGCTTCTCTAAGTTGCGCAGTACCATTCACTTAGTAGATGTAACAGCAAGAGGTGACAAAACAGATCGCATCTGGAAAGTCCGAGAAATATATAATTCCATTAGAAATCGTTGTAGGGAACTTCAAACCGAAACAAATTTGTGCATTGACGAGCAAATTGTTCCATTCAAGGGGCAGATCAATGTCAAGCAGTACCTCCTAAATAAACCGAAAAAATGGGGGATCAAATTATGGATATTGGCTGGACAATCTGGTACCATTTACGATTTCATCATATATCAAGGTGCTGAAACGGAAATAAAAGAAAATTATGCACAGTTTTGACAAGGAGCTGGAACTGTGATGCAGCTAGTTGAGAGAATTGAAGAAACTCATCACGGTTTGTACTTTGATAATTGCTTTAGTTCTTATCACCTCTTTCAATGGTTGAACAATTAATCTATTATGGCTGTCGGAACAATTAGAATAAACCGATTTTTTGGACCAGAACTAACATCTGATAAAGATCTAAAAAAAAAAATGGTAGAGGTAGTTTTGATGTAGCGGTTAGTGAAGATGGAATTGTGATTACAAAATGGTTCGACAATAAACCAGTTTTAGTGGCTTCAAATTTTGTTGCAGCGGGAAAAATGGATTTGTGCCAGAGATGGGATAAGACGTCGAAAGAGTATATAAATGTATCTAGACCGGAAGCCATATCGCTTTACAATTCCAACATGGGTGGTGTTGATAAGTTAGATTTTTTATTGAGCGTTTACAGATCCTACAGACGATCCAGAAATGGACTGTACGTAAGATAACACATGCTATAGATAAGGCGATAGTAAATTCCTGGTTGGAATATAGAAAACAAGCTGAACTGCTAGGCGTACAACACAATAAAATCCTGGATTTGTGGAACTTTAGAATGAGTATTGGGCAACACCTCATTTTACATAAGGTTCCACCAAAGAGAGGCAGACCATATAGTCAAGAAAATACTGGTACACCAAATAATAAAAAAACCAAAACTGAAGCAAGGCCATATATTGAATTACGGTTCGACAGCTATGGACATTTTCCGAAAATAGATGAAAAAAAAGATAGTACACGTTGCAAAATGGAGAACTGTAAGGGAAAATCACATACATTTTGCGTGAAATGTAATGTTCACTTATGTTTTGTAAGCGGTCGTAACTGTTTTTTTAAATTTCATGTAAAATGAATAATTCGTTATTTACAAAGAATATTATTTATTTCGTCATTCTAATGATATTCAAATAAATTTCTAAAATCTTCAGGTTTATTTTATTTTGCTTCAAGTCATAATGTCCATCAACATGGACATGTCATATGCCAAGTGACCTATGACATAAAAAAAAAAATGATGTTAAAATTATCAACCAAAATAGTTTATTTTATATACCAAATATGAGAATTTTCCCATAGCTCAAAAAAAGTTGTGACTGAAAGGGTTTTAAAGTATTAAAATTTATGCTTACGGTAGAATAAATACAAACAGTTTGTATTTTGAGAACTATTTCCGAAGTGGAAATTGAAACGTCAATAAACGTATTTTAACCTTTAATTGTGGCTAATTCCCAGTTAAATAATAATTAATTTAAAATGCCACAAGAAAATAGCTTCAGAACAATAGTTTTTCTTGCACTCTGATATTATTTTTCACAGCTGACTGGTATAAAGGAATGATTTTAAAAAGAAAAACTTCTATTTATTTAATTATACTTCAAGTTACCCATCCGTAACTATAATAATAATTATTACATACCAAGTATAATAATTTTATTGTTGTTACAGATAGCTAGCGCATGTCCAAAATGTGGGGAAACCGAGCGGTAACTCGCGGCACTTTGGTGTGTCTCGCGATTTTAGTTTATCTGAAAGATAGTAGCTGTGTGACTACAAACAGACGAGAGCACTTTTCGCAGTTACCTCAGCGTACCGGCTTCGTAAACAGAAACAACAATCAGAAGACCGGTGTAAAAGTGATGGATCCTTCTTTTGAAAATGCCGGACAAGTCGATGGCCTTGAGATATGGAGAATCGAAGTAAGTTTGTTTGGAATCACCTGTTAGATACGTTTTTACGACATTTAGATTACCTGTTTTGATATGAGTCAGGTTTTAACCTAACAAAGATTTACTTTTCACCTGCAGCTAAAAATTTCTCCTACACTAAATTTATATTATATTTATTTAATGTTAAACCTTTTTTAGTTTATTGTCCTCATTTATTTTTATTTATAGTTTGTTTTTTAGTTGGAATTGATAGTACATAATTTTGACAAATAATGCATTGGTAATATTGTTAAGTGAAATAATTGCTTGGAATCAGGTGGCAAATTAAAAAGAAAACTACATAGTTTTCCATACATCTATCTAGACAGCTCACAATATCGTGTGGATGTAGGACTTTTTCATTTTTTAGTTTTATTCTTAATTTCTTTTTCCATCCATTCTTTGCTTGTAATTATATATTTAAATATATTTATTGCTACAGTTATTTAGTAGGTATCTTCTAGAGTTTATAGTTTGACTAAACTATAATAAACCTTTGGTATAATGATCATTTTCACATATTTAACCTATATTTCTAACTGCCCCGTCATTGGAGTTTTAAAGTGTTCTTTTCATAATTGTTTCTTTCTTTCTAATCAGATTGTCTTGTCTACCTTTCGTGTACCTAGATTGGTTTTCCCTAGTTTTCCACATAATATAACAAGTTTATAGGTAGCCTTTATAAAATTGTCTTGTTGTTTAAATACCGTTTTCTTATTCCTACAGAACATATTTCATTCTTTTCCCTGATATAGGTAACTTATTTTTACCTTTAACTTCCTGTATTTACTCCTGTTCACTGCTTCTTTATGTTCATAATTATACCAGTCGTTTTTCTCCTCTACTTTTACTTCAATAAGGTGTTCTTCATTGCTATTTTCCATTCGTGCCATTGGTATTCTACGTAATTTCTTCCCTTTGTATGTGTTTCTTTTTCAAATTCTCTTTGAATCTTTTATCTGTATTTAGGTCTTATTTCGTCCTTCTTTAAGTCATCCATAATATATATTCCCTGCTTTCTCTCGATTATTATTCTCAGTTTATTACCATGTTTCTAATTTTAACTACTAATAAAAACTATATCTTTGGTATATCCTGCAATATTGTGTTTTTCAAGATACAACAAAACAAAATTAATGATGTGTACACCTTCTAAAATTGTACATTTCTTCTTCTTCTTAACGTGCCTTATTAAATTCCCTTGACGTTGGCGATTAATACGGCAAGACTTTCTCTGTCTTGAAGTATTCTGAACAGTTGTTTGACTCTCCGTATTCTGTTCCATTCTCTTACATTCTTCAACCACGAGGGTTGTTTTCTACAAATTCTTCTGCGTATTTCGATTCTTCTTCTTCTTAACGTGTCTCATCCCTAAGGACATTGGAGATCATCATGGCCCATTTGACTCTATCTGCAGCCGATGACCAGCTGGATCAATTCGTATTTCTCGTTTCTTAGTATGTGTCCAAAGTAGCTCATTTTTTCTTTATAGTGTTGAATATTTCTTTGTCTTTTTTCATTCTTCGTAGCGTTTCCGCATTTGTTGTGTTGTGTCTAAGATATTTTCCACATTCTTCGATAACCACATTTTAAAGTTAATGAGTCTTTTCAACTCTTAGTATTCTTAGTATTTCATCTAGTCCCATGGCCTTCTCATTTTTATACGTTTTAGCGCTTTATCAATTTCGTCTTTGGTGATTGGTGGCCCATTTTTTCCTCTTGGTTCAATAACCTCAATTTGTGCACTTGTTCTTTGATTTGTTGGTATATATCAGTTTCTTTTAATTTTTTCAGATTGATTCTCGGTTTTTTTGGAAGTTGTATTAACTTTTTTAACTTGAGTTTTATGTTTGCTAGAACTAGATTATGGTCACTTGTTATATCTGCTCCTGGGTACGCTTTAGCTGATATTATCTCATTTCGGAATCTTTGATTTATTATTATGTAATCTATTTGGTTTCTTATTATAATTTTACCACCATCTCTAGGTGCTTTCCACGTATATATTCTTCGGTTTGAGAGTTTATACCACGTGTTTTTGATAATGAGTTCGTTATCTTTGCAAAAATAAACTAGTCTTTCACCTTTCTTATTACGAGTTCCCAGTCTGTGTACACCTACTACTACCTCTCCATCTCTTCCTTTCCCTACCTTCAAGTTAAAGTCACCTACAGTCAAATTTACGATTCGAATCTACTTATCATAGTTAGTTAAAGAATAATATACTGTTTTCCCGCATTATATGTCCAATATATATTTTCAAGTAGTTTCTGCTCTGTTTAGAACTGCTTCATTTGTCTTCTTAGCCGTCCACGGTATTTTTAGTGTTCGTCTTTACAACCACATTTCCAAAGCCTGTAAGCGGTTAATAGTAGGTACTTTCAAGGTCCATGCTTCGACACCATGTAAGACAGCTGACCATATTTAACATTTAATTATGCGTTTCCGAAGTTGAAGTTTCAAGTTATTGAACTGGGTCTATCTGGGTCTAATTTTGAGACGGCTGCTCTGAAAAGTTCATTTGATGTACATCTGTACCACCCTCTCAGGTTGCACAGCCATGACATTCTACGCCTCCCTATGCTTCTCTTTCTTTGAATCTTTCCCTGCATAATCAGTTGGTGTGTTTTTCTCTACGTGTAATATGTCCGAGATATTCCAATTTTCTTGTTTTAATTGTATTTAAAATTTCTACTTCTTTATTCATCCTTCTCAGAACCTCTTTGTTTGTGACGTGTTCTGTCCACGATATTTTCAGAATTTTTCTATACACCCACAGCTCGAATTTTTCCAGTTTTTTCATTGATCTCGCATTCAAGGTTCAAGATTCCATTCCATAAAATAAAGTCGAAAAAACATAGCACCTCGCCAACCTAACTCTTAGTTCCAATTTTAAATCCTTGTACATAGCACTGTTCTCATTTTGTTGAAATTTGCTCTAGCCTTTTCTATTCCGATTTTGATCTTCTGAGTGTAATCATTTGTGGAGTTAATAATTGTTCCCAGATATGCGTATTTGTCCACTTGTTCGAGGATGGTTCCGTTTATTAGAAGAGTCTCGTTATTTCTTTGAGTTTTCGATATTCTCATAAATTTCGTCTTCTTGACATTCATTGTTAGACCATACTGTTTTCCATACTCCGCTAGTCTGGTCACCAGTCTCTGAAGATCTTCAATATTTTCGGCTAAGATCACAGTGTCCGCATATCTAATGTTGTTAATGGAAACATTTACCTTTATTCCAGCTGTTTCACCCTCAAGAGCGTTTTTCAGGATCTCTTCGGAGTAGGCATTAAAAAGAATTGGCGACAATACGCGTCCCTGTCTCACTTCACATCTAATTTCAATTTCTTCTGACAGCTGTTCGTTAACACGTACTTTTGCTCGCTATATTTAAAATTTGATACTCTTGATATTGGTTGTCCATCTATATGTAATTAAGTATGTATTTTCATGAGTCAAGCGACTAAATACCATGTATTTTGCTTTAGAACAATTAATTTTTAGTCCCATCTCTCGTCCTACAGTGTTAATTTACTTTAAAAGACGTTACAGTCCATTTAAATCATCGCTCAATATAACTGTGTCATCTGCGTATCTGATGATATTTATCAATTTTCCATTATCATTTCTTACCAAAGACAAAACAAGTTTTGATAAAAAAATTACGTTACATTTTATCTTTTGGCAGACCAATATGTTCCCGTCTACAATAATTTCCACATTTATTATGTCGAGCATAATAAATTATATTGTTGTCTTCCTTTAGGTATTTTCATTAAAAACAGCCAACTGTTATTAGATAATATAATGAAAAATTAAAAATTATGTCAACAACATATGTCCAATTTTTGATTATCGAAGGTAATATATGATAAAATTCTTTCGATAACTGATTTTTATTCATCAATTCATGTTTACTGTTTAATTTTATTTAAAAATTGATATAAGTTTTAAAATCAGAATCGAGACGATTCTAATAAAGTAATCTTGTAGAGGATTATCCATTATCAATTATTGATCTTAACTAACTTTGTTATTTATAGTCCAATTTTGATAATTTCTTGGAAAAGTAGAAGAAAAATTATTCAAGATTAATTCACATCATTCAGATTTGTGAATACGAGCGGATTTGTACACATTATATGAAAAAAATCAAGTATGTTTATATGCAGCACCAGCTTCCTTAATCACATTTCTTTATAAGTTTCTGTGTTGTGTCATACCAATATCAATACCTTCTACTAACATTTCCTGCCTAAGCATCCCAGGTCTTCTATGGTCTTCCACACCTACTGGAACTACATTGGAATTTTAGAAAGGGTTAATGTGCAAAAGCGGTGATTTTTGTGTATTTTTATTTTTATTCTTCTTCAAGTTCCACTCCTATCGGAGATTGGAAATCATTCTGGCAATTATAATTTTATTGGTTACTCGCCTGAATAGTTCAATTGAACTGCATCCAAACCATTCACGGAGATTGCGTAGCCACGAGATTTTACGTCTTCCTACGCTTCTTCTACCTTTGATTTTACCCTGCATTATATTCCTTAGTAGTTCGTACTTTTCACCTCTCATGATGTGCCCCAAGTACTCCAATTTCCTGATTTTTATGGAATTTAAAACTTCGCATTGTTTTCCTAGTTGTTCGAGAACTTGTTCGTTTGTTTTGCGATCCATCCATGATATTTTCAAAATACGTCGGTAACACCACATTTCGAACGCTTCTAGGTTTTTAATGTTGGATTTTTTAAGTGTCCAAGCTTCAACTCCATACAAAAGGGTAGAGAAAATATAACATCGAAGCATTCTTATCCGGAGCGATATGTTGATGTCGCGATTACAAAAAAGTTTTCTCATTCTATTAAAAGTTGACCGTGCAATTTCAATGCGGCATCTTATTTCTTTTGTCTGATCAGTATCTTCTGTGATCCATGCTCCAAGGTATTTGTACGAAGATATTTGTTCAATTTCTGTATTATCTAGTACTA